TGTGTGTCACTGTGAATGTGTGTGTGTGTCACTGTGAATGTGTGTGTGTGTCACTGTGACTGTGACTGTGTGTGTCACTGACTGTGTGCAGGAGTCAGGAGAGATGAGAAGTTGGCATTGGATCCACTGGAGCTGGAGTCACCAATGGCCATGTGGATGCTGGGAACTGAACATTGTTCCTCTGCAAGAGCAAAAGAGCCCTCTTATCCTGAATTGTCTCTCTAGCCCCAAGATCGTTTTTGTTTTTTCTTTTGGTAACCAAGGATGACTTTGAATTCTGACTCTCCCTCCTGTCTGCATCTCAAGCATGGTGGCGCACACCTATAATCACAGTACTTGAGAAGTTGAGACAAAAGGATTGCTGCAAGCTGGAGGCCAGCTTAGCCTACATAGTGAGTTCAAGGCCAGTTTGGGGTACATAGCTAAACTCTCTGATTAAAACAAAAAAAAAATAGCTAGGTATGCCTGTGATACCAGCATTTGAGAGATGGAGGCAGGAAGATAAAGGGTTCAAGACCACCCTCAGCTACGCAGTGAGTTCAGGGACACCTGGGTTACTTCAGCCCCAGTCTCAAAAGCAAAAGGGCAGGAGACATGGTTCAGCCTGTGTTTATTCCTCTTCCAAAAGACCCTTTCCCAGCAACCACATCTGTCATGCAGCTGAGTCCCATGTTACTCCAGCATCAGGGCTCCAAGGGCATCCATACTGCTCTCTCTAGTGCTCTCTCTGTCTCTCTGTCTCTCTCTGTCTCTCTCGGTCACACACACACACACACACACACACACACACTCACACACACACACACCAATTAAAAATAAGTCTTTAGCCGGGTAGTGGTGGTGGTGGTGCATGCCTTTAATCTCAGCATTCAAGAGCACTGCAGAGCTAATTCCAGGACAGGCTCCAAAGCAACACAGAGAAACCCTGTCTCAAAAAACAAAACAAAACAAAATAAAAGTCTTTAGCCGGGCGGTGATGGTGCATGACTTTAATCCCAGCACTTGGGAAACAGAGGCAGGTGGATCTCTGTGAGTTCCAGGCCAGCCTGATCTACAGAGCGAGTTCCAGTACATCCAGGACTACACAGAAAAACTCTGTTTAGAAAAACAAACAAATATTTAAGGCTTAGAGAGATGAGTCAGGTTCCCAGGGTTTAGTTCCCAGCACCTGGTGGCTCACAACTGTATGTAAGTAACTCCATTTCCAAGACATCCTATACTCTTCTCTGATCTCCTGCGGGCACCAACCAAGACCATGGTCCACATGCATGCATGCAGGCAAAACATTCATACACATAAAATAAAAATAAATCTTTAAAAAAGTTTCAAGCCTTTAATGCTAGCAATCAGATTGCAGAAGCAGGCAGATCTCTGAGATGGAGGACAACCTAATCTACAGATTGAATTCCAGGACAGTCAGGGAGGGCTACCCAGAGTAACCCTGTCTCAAGAAAGTAGAAAAATACAACAGAAAAGTTCAAATAAATATAAATGAATAAATACTGAAAAAAAAAAGCTGGCCATGGTGGTTCAAGCTTGTAATCATAGATTTCAGGAGGCTGAAGCAGGGAGGATTGCTATAAATTCAAGGCCAGACTGGGCTACAGAATGAGACCCTGTCTCCAAAGAAAGAAAGGGAGGGAGGGAGAGACAGGGGAAGGGAAGAAAAGGAGAAAGAGAAGAAATTGGATGTTAAGGTTGGGGAAAATATCTTCCACTTCTGTTTCAGGCTATTATGTTTTATTCAAATTAGAAATTCATTTTGGAAGTAAATACGAATGCACTAAAGGGTAAGCTGTGTGACTTAATGGGCTATACTACAGCTTCCACAAGATTCTTCTTCTTCTTCTTCTTCTTCTTCTTCTTCTTCTTCTTCTTCTTCTTCTTCTTCTTCTTCTTCTTCTTCTTCTTCTTCTCTCCTCCTCCTCCTCCTCCTCCTTCTTCTTCTTTGGTTGTTTTTGTTTTTTTCTTGCAGAGGGCAGATGTAAGGAGATGGGATGATAAGTGGGATCCCAATACACAGTGTGAAATTCACAAAGAATCAATAAAAGTTAAAAAAATTTCATGTTGAGCATTATGACAAGATGTCTTTGATCCCAGGAGGCTGAGGCAGTTGGATCTCCAAGAGTTCAAGGGTAGCCTGGGCTATATAACTAGTTCCAGGCCAGCCCGGGATACATAGTTAGACTCTGTTTCAAGAACAACCTCCAAAACAAGCAAATTAGAGTCAGGTTTGATGTCTGTCGTAGGAATACAAAACTTAGTAATAATAGTTATAATATTAGCAAGCTGCTATCTGTGGAGCATTGACCCTGTGACAGTATCTTATAGGTAGGTCTCTGTAGGTGTTTTTGATGTAGACAATCTTTTTAAAACTTTTTAAATTATTTATTCGTGTGTCCATGTGTGTATTGGGGATGGTGCCCTTGGAAGCCAGAAGAGAACATTGAAACCTCTGGAGCTGAAGTTGCAGTTAGTTGTGAGCTACTTGACATGGCTGCTGGGATGTGAACTCAGGCCCTGAGGGAGAGCAGCAAATACTGTTAGGCTCTGAGCCATCTCCCCAGCCCCTGTGACAGACACTGTTTATACACACACAACAGGAGAGATGAGAAAACTGGGAAAATTGCTATGTAACTGCTGTATATTATACAGGGATACGTGGCAAGTACTAAGCCAGCCAGCTAGGTCTTCCAGAGGTCCTGAGTTCAATTCCCAGCAACCATATTGTGGCTCACAACCATCCATAAGGAGATCTGGTGTCCTCTTCTGGCCTGCAGGCATACATGTAGACAGAATACTGTCTACATAAGAAAAAAAACCAAATCTTAAAAAAAAAAAAGGAACAGGGTGGTGGTGGCGCACTCCTTTAATCCCAGCACTCAGGAGGCAGAGGCAGGCAGATCTCTGAGTTCGAGATCAGCCTGGTCTACAAGAGCTGGTTCCAGGACAGCCTCCAAAGCCACAGAGAAACTCTGTCTCAAAAAGACAAAAAAGAAAAGAAAAGAAAAAAGAATCTTGGTGCTGAAGAGATAGCTCAATGGTTAAAGGCACTTGCTGTGGACCTGAGTTCAGATCACAGCGCCCTCCTAACAGCCAGGCTGGTCTGCTGCACCTGTAATGCTAGCGTGTGGAGAGCAGAGCAGGAAAATGGTTGACAGCCTTGCTGGAGAAAATGAGAGTACTAGTTTCAGGAAGAGACCGAGACACCCTGCCTTCAAGGAAAAAAAAGATGGAGAGGGATAGAGGAGGCCAAGGACAGGCAGTGCTCTCCTCTGGTCCCTACAGGAACACCCACACATATACTACTCTCACGAGTACACACCCAGATCTTCAGGTGCAGTATAGGCCTTATCTAGGAAGGGAAAGAATGCATTATGTAAATTTATGGAAACATCCATCCACAAGCTGACATACATTTGCCTCGTGGTTTTGCTTTAACCTTTAGTTTCAACTTCAGCTGTGCTTTCCAGGGACTGTAGCGACAGGAAAGCTGTACATGGATTTGAGCTAAGTTCTGCTTCCTCTCTAGATTTATTGGTTATGCTTTTTATGCATATGGGCATTTTGTCTGTATACAGATCTGCACACCAGAAGAGGTCATCGGATCCCATGGGACTGTAGTTATAGACAGTTGTGTCATGTGCGTGCTGGGAATTGAACTCAGGACCTCTGGAAGAGCAGCCCATGCTCTTAACTGGTAAGCATTCTCTTTAGCTCCTTGAGTTAAGTTTTTATAGTGAATATTTAGCCTAGGAAAGCTATTTCTTCAATATAAAGGGAGCAAATTAGAGGCTTTTAAACTCCTATACGAAGTGTTTGAACTCTTAACATGGCCCTGGTATCCTGGAACTCACTATGTAGTCCAGGCTCTTAATGGCTAAGTCATTTCTCCAGCACCATTTTTAGAAGTCTTACTCTGAATGCACCTGTATGAAAATTATAGCATATAATAATAAATAATTGTGCAACAAAAATTTTGATATCAGCTTAAATATATATTAGGCTGCAAATAGCAATAACCAGGTTCCATCTTCTTCTTTGACCATAAGAAAGCCATAACTTCTGTGCACTTCTCTTCTCCAGGCCTGGCTGATACTTGTGTCCTAGCGTTGTGTAGATGAGATGTCCTACACGAAGTGTCCTGAACTCCTTAAAGGATGCTGTCAAAGCACCAAGGGGCAATTAGAGTAATGACAGGACTCAGAGAGAAAAGGGGGAAATAGATCTCCACTTTCTTCCTTGATTTTTCATCTTTGCAGGTGGTCCTTTCCTGTCCCCTGGGTTACAGTGGGGCTTTGGGAGTGTCCTTGCTTGGGTGCAAGAACGCCTTGAATCCTCTGGAACTGTACTCAATAGACCCTTTGCTCTGCTTTACTCTTTCAGTGAAGGCTGTGTGACACCAGTGTGCCGTGTGGTTAGGGAGCACAGGACCTGCCAACAGAAGGCTGAGAAGCAACCATGGACTGTGTGTGTCTTCACCCACTAGCTTACTCCTCCCGGATCCCACAGCCTGGAGCCCCAGCCCTTCCTACCGCCTCCCATGAGAAAGGAAAGTGGATCTCGAGGCCAGTTCTTACCTATTGAAGGCCAGTTCTCTGAGCACTTGTGACGTCGTCCGGCTGTGTGCACCCGGTTATCTGGAACACTTGTGACGTCGTCCGGCTGTGTGCACCCGGTTATCTGGAATACTTGTGAAGCTGTCCGGCAGTGTGTACCCGGTTGTCTGGAACAAGTCCTCCGGCACTGTGCACCCGGTTATCCGGGACACTTGTGAAGCCGTCCGGCAGTGTGCACCCGGTTATCCGGGACACTTGTGAAGCCGTCCGGCAGTGTGTATCCGGTTGTCTGGAACAAGTCATCGGGCAGTGTGCACCCGGTTGTCTGGAACAAGCCGTCCGGCAGTGTGCACCCGGTTGTCTGGAACAAGCCGTCCGGCAGTGTGCACCCGGTTATCCGGGACACTTGCGCAGCCGTCCGGTTATCTGCATCCATCAGCTATGTCCTTCAGTGCCACCATTCTCTTCTCCCCTCCCAGTGGCAGTGAAGGCAGATGCTGCTGCTGTACCTGTAAGAGTGAGACGAGCCAGGGCAGCTCGGGCTCTCAGGGTGGGAACCCTCCTGCCAGCACCCCTATCACAGTGACAGGACACGGCCTGGCGGTGCAGAGCTCTGAACAGCTCCTGCATATTATCTACCAGCGGGTGGACAAGGCGGTGGGTCTGGCTGAGGCCGCCCTGGGTCTTGCTCGGGCCAACAACGAGTTGTTAAAACAGCTCCAGGAGGAAGTGTGTGAGCTACGGCAGGGGAAAGTCTGCACCACTGAAGAAGATGGGGAGAACCGGGCCCGCAGCCCACCACCCGAAGAGCCTGGACTGCTCAAGGGGAGCCCGGGGGAAGCCTGCAAGACTGTGTCTGCCATGGAGGAGGAGTGTGACAGCGTGGGCAGCGGTGTGCAGGTGGTGATTGAGGAGCTGAGGCAGCTGGGCGCAGCCTCCACCGTGGGGCAGGGGCCCTTGGGCTTCTTCGCGGCCCCCCAGAGAGATCTGCGGCTCCCGGGATGTGCTCTGGCTGCCGCAGAGGGGGCCCCTCTGCTCAACCCCGTAAGTGACTCCCTAACTCCCGTATGCTTGCCCTGCCCGAGCCTCTGGAGATACTCATCACACGCCTCTTTCAGTCTTTAAGCCGTTCTTCCACGTGTGTCTGTGATAAAACAGAAGGGCACCCACCAGGCTTCCCCCGCTTTCAGGGATAGCCTGCACTCCTGTTTCCACCCGAGTCTTTTTGGCAGGTCATTTTTGGCGCAAGTGGTGAGTGAGGTGGTGCTCCCCACCTTCTCAACAGCTCCAGCGTGGCATCTTTTCCACAGCTGTCTCGGCTGCTCCACCAGCTCTGCCTTTCCTGGCGAGAACGCCTGCCATGAGCAGACGTCTCATTCATATTTTATCATGGCCTTCAGCTTGCCAAGAAGGGCTTCAGTGCAGAGACGGAAGCGTGGAGGGGAAGAGGGGAAAGCCAAAGGATAAGCGTATTAAAAGTCAGGTGAAGCTGGGCGTTGGTGGCGCACACCTTCAATCCCAGCACCCGGGAGGCAGAGGCAGGCGGATCTCTGTGAGTTTGAGGCCAGCCTAGTCTATAGAACGAGACCCAGGACAGCCAGAGTTGTTACACAGAGGAAACCCTGTCTGGCAAAAAAGGGAGGGAGGGACAGAGGGACGGAGGGAGGGAGGGAAGAAGGAAGGAAGGAAGGAAGGAAGGAAGGAAGGAAGGAAGGAAGGAAGGAAGGAAGGAAGGAAGGAAGATTTAGGTCGGATGAGGAGGTACTGCCTGTTTGATGGTAACAATGATTGCTTGGATCTTACTCTAGCCCAAGCTGGCCTACAACTCACTCTGTAGTTTCTGCTATTGTCAAATTTACAGCAATCCTGCTACTCTCTCTTTGGTTTTTCGAAACAGGGTTTCTCTGTGGCTTTGGAGGCTGTCCTGGAACTTGCTCTTGTAGATCAGGCTGGCCTCGAACTCACAGAGATCCGCCTGCCTCTGCCTCCCAAGTGAGTGCTGGGATTAAAGGCGTGTGCCACCACTGCCTGGCAAGAATACTTGCATTATTTCTTTTTCCAGTTATTCATTTATTTTTCTGTGCCTGTGTGTATGGCTGTGTGAGGGGTCAGATCCTCTGGCTGAAGTTACAGACAGTTGTGAGCTGCCATGTGGGTGCTGGGAATTGGACCCAGGTCCACTAGAAGAGCAGCCCGTGCTCTAACCACTGGGCAATCTCTCCAGCTCCTGTTCTCAACTTTGTAGCAATTCTACCCCTTCAGCCTCCTGAGAGCTGGCATTACAGGTGTGAGCCTCGAAAGGCAGGCAGAATACTGGGCATGGTGATGTATGCCTTTGATTGCCTTTCAAGATTTATTTTAAAGAAGATTTTATTTATTATGTATAGAACACTCCATGTATACCAGAGGAGGATGTGAGATCTCATTACCCATGGTTTTGAGCCACCATGTGGTTGCTTGGAATTGAACTCAGGACCTCTGGAAGAACAGTCAGTGTGTTCTTAACCTCTGAGCCATCTCTCCAGCCCCCCAAGATTTATTTTTTAATTTTAATTATGTATATATGGGGGCTCCATGTGCGTGCACTCATGGCAGGGGGAGGCCAGAAGAGGGAGTCAGATCTCCTGGACTAGAGTTACAGACTGTTAACTAGCCACTCTGTGTGGGTGTTGAGACACAAACTCAGGTCCTTAGGAAGATCAGCGAATGCATGCTCTTAACCATTAACCCATCTCTCTAGACCCCTTTAATCCCCCCCCCTTGTTTTTGGTTTTTTTGAAACAGGGTTTCTCTATGTACTCCTGTCTATTTTGTAACTAGCTTTGTAGACCAGGCTGGCCTTGAACTCAGATATCCGCCTGCCTCTGCCTCTTAAGTGCTGGCATTAAAGGCTGCGGCGGCAGTGACCACCACCACTGGCTTAATTGCTTACTTTTAGTACCAGCACCTAGGAGGCAGAGACAGATGAATCTCTGTGAGATGAAGGCCATCAGAATATACATGGCCTGAGACCCTGTTTCAAAAGAAAAGTGAATAGGAACATTAGGAACATAGAGGGTGTGACAGTGACATCATCATGAGTTTGTGGCTAGCCTGGGCTTCATGGTGAGCCCAAGTGGAGACTGGAGTGACAGCTCAGTGGTTAAGAGTGCCTACGCTGGAATGTAAAACATAAATTAATAATAATAATAAAGAAGAGTGCTTACTGCTTTTCCAAAGCACCTGAGTTCAGTTCCCAGCATCTTTGTCAGGTGGCTCACAACAGCCACCTCCAAGGGGATCTGATGCCTCTGGTCTCCTGGGACCTGCACTTACGTGTTCACACTCACACACAGACGCACACACATGCAAACGCATAATTAGAAGTAATAAAAACATGTCTTTTAGAAGGTGGGGGCAGAGAGCAGAGGAGGAGGGAAATCGAGCCTCTTCTGGGCAAGAGAAGACACAGAAGCACACAGTGCTTCCGTTTTTCCGTGCCCAAGGGAGAACCCTGGCTAAGAAGAACTGCAGAAAGGCACTCAGGGAAGAGGAGGAGACAGAGGATGGCAGAGACCACAGAGGCAGGGAATGGCAGGTGCACCACACTCTACAGCGGGGTCTTCAGCTCTCTCCCACTGTCTGCCCACTCCTGCCTTTTGCCCCAAACATGGTAACAATACCCAGTAAAGAGTAAAGACCCGAACACACGGGGTGAATGAGAAGGGGCAATTCCCAGCCCATCTGCTGATGGTGACGCTAGCCTATCCTAGCCGCTGACTGTCGCTCCTAAAGGCTTAGCTTTGTAGCACTGGTCCCTGTACCTCGCCCTCTCTGCCTGGCTTGGGCCTGAGAGACAGGAAACGGGAGGATACCCAGGCCAGGTGGTGCTTTGCGCTGGGGGTTCTTTGGGGCGGGGAAGGCTTCCAAGCTGGCAGGATGGAATTAGCTTTTAGATTTCACAGCACGGAAGGCAGCTCATGGGCCTGCGGATCTCAGCTGCCTCCTCCGCATCGTTCTCCACGAGTGTGGTTCCCTCCCTTCCACCGTTTTGTTTTCCGGGCTGCAAAATCCCCACTCCTTTCCTCCCGCGGTCTGCTTTGCCCCCTCCTTTCCTTGCCCTGTGTGTCCTTGACCGCACACGCATCAGCTGGAGGTGAAGGCCCAGACTATGGGCTGTAGCCTGGCCCAGACCGGCCCCTCTAAGGAACTAGAGCGTATGTTGGGTGTCTGTTGTTTGTGTGACATCCTCTATAGGCATTGGACACATGTGGTGCCCAGACAGACACACAGGCAAAGACACCCATACACACCCGGGGGAAAAGAGAATGATCTGCGATTTCCTGATGCTCTCAGAGAGTCCCAGAAATAAGCCACTGGCACAAGAGGCTGCTGACCTGACCTTTCCTCTACATTGTTCCCTGTTCTTGGCCAAGAATGGTGGTGAAGCAGGTCCTGCTCTGCCTGGCTCTAATAGACTGCTCTTCTTGTCTTCTCAGATGGCGGATGAGTATGTGGCCTCTGAGGGGGCAATACAACGAGTGTTGGTCCCTGCCTATGCCAAACAGCTTTCACCAGCCACACAGCTGGCTATCCAGAGGGCATCCTCAGAGACAGGACCAGAAAATGGAACCAAGCTCCCCACAGCCCGCCCTGAGGACATGCTTGGTTCGGTGGCACTGGACAATGCCGTGGATGAGTCCAGCCCTGGCGTCGCTGGGGAACTGAGCCGCTCGATGGGATTTATTGGCTCCCCATGCAGGATTCGAGGGACTGGGCAGAAAAACTCCAGGCGCAAGCGAGATCTGGTGCTCTCCGTAAGTGAGCTCAGTTTCAGTCATTTTTTTCTTTAGTTTGCAAGAGTGGGTTGACTTGAAGCCTCCAAATAGAATGAGTAGTGCCTTAAATCCTACTGGAATGAGAAGGATAAAGAGAGACATTATTCTGTAACCTTGAGCATGGGCAGAGCGTTTCCATTGCCTGGTCTTGCCAGCTTGTGTAGACAGAATGGTGTCCCTTTAAAGAGAAGAGAATTCTCTCTCTCCGTGTTCTCATAATGCTGATGGGAAGATCTTTAAGGACTGAGCAGACTGACCGCCCCCCCCCACAAGGGTCGAGTTTTAGCCAATGTGCAGGGTAAGTAACAAGGGTCGTCTTGTGTGGGAAAGCTAGAGTGTCCTGAAGCAGTCAGTGTCCAGCCCCACAGAGGTGGGAAGCCACCAGGCTTAGTGCCATTTGCCCAACCACAGACTTCTCGAGAATCCAGTCATTCTGAGAGCCCTTGGAGGCAGAAAGGGACTGGCTAGGAAGACGGCCTAACATTTTCTTGGAGAGGATGGGAGCCCCAGGGACATGCTGCTGGGCTGAGAGTCCTCAGTGTGGCAGCCAGCGGAAACAAAGACCTTGTAGCACAGTGTTGCTCAGCCTGGAGGAGCTGCCCTCCAGGGACATGTATCACGACTAGCCACTTTGCAGACTGTTGTCGCTGGTGGGTCGGCAGAGGGAGAATGCTTACATCCAACAGGCAGAAGCCAGGTAGGAACCGAACTGCATGTCCCTCAATGTGCATTCCAGCTCAGCCTGTCTACAGCACAGAGGGCGAGATTTTCTTCCGTGTGAGTGTAGTCTCTTGGATCAACTGTGAGCTCAAGAGCTTTGTGGGATTGGGGGGCTTTATTTTCTTTGTTTGTTTGAAACAGGGTCTCGTGAAACTGAGTAGCCTCAATTCACTACAAAGTTGAGACTGACCTTGAACTCCTGCTTTTACCTCACAAGTGCTGACTGGAATTATAAGCATATACACCACTATACCCAGTGTACTCTGAGTGTGTTTTCTTATTTATTTAGAAGCAGTTGGAGTTTATTAAATATTAATCAATTAATGAGAGGTGGGGTTCACTACATTAGCCCTAGTTGACCTATAACTTGCTATGTAGACCAGGCTGTCCTTGAAACTGAATCTTTTTTTTATAAAAAAAGATTTATTTATTTATCATATATACAGTGTTCTGCTTACATGCCAAAAGAGGGCACCAGATTGAATTGTAGATGGTTGTGAGCTACCATGTGGTTGCTGGGAATTGAACTCAGGACCCCTGGAAGAGAAGTCAGTGCTCTTAACCTCTGAGTCATCTCTCCAGCCCCGAAACTGAATCTTAATATAGATTTTTAATGTTTTCTAATTTGTGTGTGTGTGTGTGTGTGTGTGTGTGTGTGTGTGTGCTATATGTGTGCGGGAGTCTTCAGAGGCCAGAAAGTGTTTTATTTCCTAGAGCCAGAGTTATATGCAGTTGTGAGTATCCCAGTGTGAGTGCTGGGAATTGAACTTGGGTCCTCTGGAAAAGCAATGATACACACACACACACACACACACACACACACACATATATTTGTGTGTGTGTGTGTGTTTTCCATGTGTGTTTATGTATCCTCAGAGGCCAAAAGAAGATGTCAGATCCCTTGGAGCCACAGTTTGAGGTGATTGTAAGTTACCTGACATGGATGCTGGGAACTGAACTTGGGTCCTCTGGAACAGCAGCAAGCCCTTTAGTTTAGGTTTTAAGTACTAGTGTTAAGAGAAAGGAAGGTATTCATGAAAAAAGGCACACTTGGAGAATACCTGTACTTCCAGGGCTTGGGAAGCCAAGGCAGGAGAATACTGAGTCTGAAACCAGCCTAGTCTACACAAGCTAAGTTTGAGGCCAGCCCTGGCACTACAGCAAGTAAGACTATTTCAGAAAAATAAAGGAAAATACATTATTGAGCAAGACTGTTGGCTTGCAAGGGAAGAATGGTTATAGGGCCTTAGAGTGCTAATCTTGAGCTCTGGAAGGAGTCCAAGAGCTCTCTCTCTGATCTGCTGGGATGCCTGTGGATGCTGCTAGGGACCCTGTGGAGCCTGTGGACCAGGCCAGTATGCTTAACTCTTTGGAATGCTGCAGATGCCAGCCACCCTTGGGGAAGTATATTTATTTTTAGCTCACCCAGGAGGTAGATGAGCCAACAGCCTTTACAGTCTCAACACCCACCGTCTAGAGTGCTTTCCCTTTGCACTTCAAGTCTGGCTTGGTTTTTCATCATCTGATCTCTTCCAAGCTACGAGCTTGGAAGACAGGCAACTCCTTTTCCTTTTTTGAGAGGTCCCACCTTCATGAAATCGTTCACCTATTCCTGTGTGATTGTTTACATTTGAACTTTAGTTTCTAGTTTTTAAAGATGTATTTCTTATCTTTATGTGTAGAAGTATTTTGCCTTCATATATGCATGTGTACTGTGTGTGTGTCTGGTACCCCCTGAAACCAAAAGAGGGCACTGGATCCCCAGGACTTGAATTAAGTAAACTTCCATGTGAGTGCTGGGAACTGAATCCTGGTCCTCTGCAACATCAGCCAGTGTTTTCAACTCTCTCTCCAGCCCCCTTTTAAAAGGTTCATGCAGTCCAGGCTGGTTCCAGACCCCCAGTATGGCTGAAGCTGACCTTGAACTTCTAGTCTTGCCTCTTCCTCCCAAGTGTTGGGATTACAAGTATGTGCCATCATGCAGAATTTGAAGCTAATAGTACTGTTCTTCTTCATAAAGTGGAGGCTGGAACTACTAAAAGCTGATGGTACCTTCCTATTTTGTATAGTCATCCAACTCTAGAGATGGGGGATAGACTGGGGGTTTCTGAATAGGGGGTTATCACTTTTCATAATCTCCATTGACTGCAGGGGCTTGGGATGAAAAATCAGAAAAAAAAACAAAGCTAGATATAACAGAAATAAATATAAAACCCTTCATTAAAACTCAGCGTGTCAGCTGGGTGTTAGTGGTGCACACCTTTAATCCCAGCACTCAGGAGGCAGAGGCAGAGGCAGAGGCAGAGGCCAGAGGCCGGAGGCCAGAGGCCAGAGGCCAGAGGCCAGAGGCCAGAGGCCAGAGGGCAGAGGCAGAGGCAGAGGCAGACCGATCTCTGAATGTATTTGGCCCACATAATCTCATAGGGAGTTTGACTAGTAGGAAGTATGAAATTGTTGGAGCAGGTATGGCCTTATTGGAGGAAGTATATCACTGTGGGGACAGGCTTTGAGGTTTCCTATGCTTGAATATTGCCCAGTGAATCAGTCAACTTCCTATTGCCTTATGAACAAGATGTAGCCAAAATCATGTCTGCCATGCTCCCAGTCATGCTCTGCACCATGATCATAATGGACTGAACCCCTGAAACTGTAAGCTGCCACCCTCAATTAAATGTTTGCCTTATAAGAGTTGCTGTGGTCATGGTGTATCTTTACAGCAATAAAAACTTATCCAAGGAAGCTGGGCATTGGTGGCACACGCCTTTAATCCCAGCACTCGGGAGGCAAAGGCAGGTGGATCTCTGTAAGATCGAGACCAGCCTGGACTACCAAGCGAGTTCCAGGACAGCCTCCAAAACAATACAGAGAAACCCTGTCTCGAAAAACCAAAAAAAAAAAAAAAAAAAAAACTTATCCAAGACAGGTGTCTGAAAGCTGGGTGGTGGTAGCATATGTCTTTAATCCCAGCACCTGGGAGTCAGAGACAGGCAGGTCTCTGTGAGTTTGAGGCCAGCCTGGTCTACAGAGCAAGTTCCAGAACTGCCATGTCTACACAGAGAAACACAAACAAACAAACAAAAAACCCAAAACAAAAAGCCTGGGAAGTAGAACTGATGATTGGGACAGAGACGAAGCCACACACCGGGACGATGCTTTTTACCCTAGGGACCAGAGGGAAGTTTTCCTGTCTACTCCTGACCTGATTCTTTCTCCCTCCCCCTAGAAACTGGTCCACAATGTGCATAACCACATCACCAATGACAAGAGATTCAACGGATCTGAAAGGTGTGGTCCCTTGAAGACAAAAAGCTTACAGGGTGCTTTGCTGAGAGGGAAGAGGGAGGGGGGGGACCCAGAGGGGGGGCGGATGTTGGCTTGTGTCAAGCCAAGGCGATTACTGCAAAGCTGATTCATTCCAGGTGTGTCTGGCTGCTCAGAAGTTGTCTGCCTAACTCTGTCTTTTCTCCTCTCTGACAGCATTAAGTCCTCTTGGAATATTTCCGTAGTGAAATTCCTTTTGGAAAAGCTCAAGCAGGAACTGATGAGCAGTCCCCACAACTACACTGATAAGGAGCTAAAGGGTAAGGAACCCTCTGCTTTTTTACCCTAGGGACCAGAGACTTCCCTCTGCTCCTGCTCCCTGCCTGCCCCTTCTACTACTTACCCTTGGCTGGGAGGCAGGAGGCACGGGGATGATGGAGTTGGTAGTAAAATAGCGCGTAGCAGCTAGGGATGGGACCTCACTCCTGTGGTCCCAGGACTGGGGACGGAGGCAAGAGGCCCACTTCAAGTTCGAGGCCAATCTAGGCTATCTACAGAGTTCTAGGCCAGCTTGGGCTATGAAGAAAGAGAAAGAAAGGAAGAGAGGAAGGAAGGAAGGGAGAGAGACTAGTGCGTGTGCATTTTAAAACCTTTTGTTATTGTTCTCGCCTAGAATTTATTAAAGATTACTCCAAATTGCCCTCTTCCCTACTCATTTTGGAATGGAAACGGGAAAAGGACTAGAGTGCCCTTACACATTGTGTTAGTAGAGACTGACTCTGCGGTCAGGGTTAGCTGCTTATTATTATTACTATTATTGGACAAGGGTCTCCCTCTGTCACCTGGCTGTCCTGAAGCTGTCTATGTAGACCAGGCTGGCCTTGAACTTACAGAGACACACGTGCCACCATGCTGGCCTTGTTGTTGATGTTTTTTAAATATGTATTTATCTGTTTATGTTGCATGTGTATGTGTGTCTGAGTGTATGCATGTGTACCATTTGCATGTGTGAGCCTGAGAAGGCATTGGATGCCCAGGCACTGCAAGAACAGAAGCTGTGACCTGTCGTGTGGATGCTGTGAAGTCCAGTCCTCTGGAAGACTAGCCAGTTCTTCTAACTGCTGAGCCATCTCTCCAGCCCCACTCCTTTAAAAAGCATATTACAGGGGCTGGAGAGATGGCTCGGAGGTTAAGAGCACTGGCTAGTCTTCCAGAGGACCTGGGTTCAATTTCCAGCAACCACATGGTGGCTGACAACCATCTATAATGAGATCTCTTCTTCTGACATGCATGCCAGAACACTGTATGCATAATAAACAAACAAACAAATAAATAAATCTAAAAAAAACCATTACAAGCCAGGCAGTGGTGGTGCACACTTTTAATCACAGCACTCGGGAGGCAGAGGCAGGCGGATCTCTGTGAGTTTGTGGCTAGCCTGGTGTACAGAGGGAGTTCCAGGTTATCTAGAGCAGTAACAGAAAAACCCTGACTTGAAAAGCTGAAAAAACAACAAACAAAGCAAAAGGTACTGCATTTATTTATTTAGTGTGTGTAGTGTGTGTGCACATACATGCTCATCTATAATTGCTTGCCACAGTACGAATGTAGAGCTCAGAGGACAACTTGTGGTAGTTGACTCCCTGCTTCCAGGGATGGCACTAGGGTCATCAGACTTGGCACCCATCTCCTTTACCCCGTAAGCCATCTTGCCAACCCAGAAGCCAGTCCCCTGCCCTGAATGCTATATGTTCTGGAGCCAGAGAGGTGGCTCAGTGACTGAGCACCCGCTGCTCTTCCAGAGGACCTGGGTTCAATTCCCATCACCCACATGGTGGCTCACAGGAATCTGTAACTTCAGTTCCAGGTGATCTGATGTCCTTCTCTGGCTGCTGAGGGCACCGTACAGATGTGCCACACAGACACACATGCAGGCAAACCCCCCCCCCACAAATAACATTAGATCTCAAAAACTAAAGCCACGGAGTTCTGAGTTTTCTGCCTTCCTTTCCTCTGTCGCCTACACCTACTGCTGAGGTCCTGTGACAGCTGCAAGAAAGTCCTGCGATCTATGGGTAGGGTAGCAATAGTAGAGCCGACGCTAGAGGTTAATGCACAGAAGCAGCTGGAGTTCTCTTTGCAGTGAGGGATATTTGGGGGGTGAAGGTGAATCCAAGAGGACTGACAGCCTAGCCTGCTCATAGGCGGCTCTAAGCTTCCACTCAGTAAGCAGCAGTGTGGGCCGGGGATCCCTGCTCTGGAAGGTCCTGCTTCTTGCTGTCTCCTCCCCCCAGGAGCCTGTGTGGCCTACTTCCTAACCAAGAGGCGGGAGTACCGCAACTCTCTTAACCCTTTCAAAGGCCTAAAGGAAAAGGAGGAGAAGAAACTTCGAAGTCGCCGATACCGGGTAGGTCTCTAGGCCTTTCTTTTGAGATCTGAAACCCTAGCCTAGATCCCAGTAAGTTGTAGTGGGAAGGGTATGCCAGAGAGTACAGCAGCTGAGGGTACAGTCGGCAGACTGGAGGACAGATAGACAGACAGACAGCCGGGTGGAGGGTGAGCTAACCCTGAGGTCTCACCTGAGGACCAGGTGCCTTTAGGCACAGATTTTACACGTCCTTTCTCCCAGCATAAACCCTTCCTACAATCCATGGTCTGTTTCTTCTAATCTCTGTCCTGGGAATTACCGTAGCTCTTTGCCAACCGATCCAGTATCATGAGGCATTTTGGGCCCGAGGACCAGCAGCTGTGGAAGAACGTGACAGAAGAACTGATGTCCGATGAGGAGGACAGTCTTAATGAGCCAGGTGTGTGGGTGGCCCGCTCTCCCCGATTCCGGGCTCAGCGTCTCACAGAGCTCTGCTACCACCTGGACGCTAACTCAAAGCACGGCACCAAAGCCAACCGTGTGTACGGGCCTCCCTCAGACAGACTGCCGTCTGTGGAAGCCCAGCTCCTTCCACCCGAGCTTTACAATCCCAATTTCCAAGAGGAAGGAGGAGGAGGCAACGAGAAAGGACCAGCCTCTCCATCCTTTGACCAGCCTCACAAGACGTCCTGTCCTGATCTGAACTCATTCATTGAAATCAAGGTGGAAAAGGATGAATATAGTCTATAACGAGGGTCGCTCTGCCCCGTCACTCTCCACATCCCGGAAACCGGTGGCTCACAATAATGAGGGCCTCCTGCAGTCGGCAAAAGCAAATCTGCTTCTCTTAACATAGTGTCTACTTAAAGTGGAAGCTGGAGACTCTCGTGGGGTAGCAGAACTTATGTAGAAGGCAGGGGAGTGCCTCTCCCGCGCGCCAGTGGCAAGCCAGAAAATGCTTATTCCTAAGCATAAACAGTGCCTCGGAGGAGCCTGGGATGAAAAGGGGGATGGGTCAAAGAAACATGAGGCCTTGATACGTGTCCCTATTTCTGTTCTTGCCCCCCATTCACCCTCCCATCCCTCCCTCCCTTCATTGTACCCACAGCTCAGGAGAAACTGCGCTTGTGCTGCCCTGGAAGCAGAACAGACCAGTCCAGGGTAATACTGCCCCCTGGTGGGACGTTTTAGTCATGGGCTTTCTCTTCTTAGCAGGGGAACGTGGGCTTACTGGTATTTGGAATTAGGGTCTAGATATTGCTAGTTATAGTTTGGATTTTTTAAATGATGGCTATTATTTGTTGGATTATATGAGAAAATTTTATTATTCACATATTACATGTGAGGAAATTAAAGCTTAAACATTTCTTATGTTGCCGGGCATAGTGACTCATACCTGGAATCCCAGCATTTAGAAAGCTGAAACTGGGGGACTGCTGTGGGTCCAAGGCCAGCCGGGGCTACAGAGTGAATTCCTGGTTAGCCTGAGTTACAGAGTGAAACCCTGCATGGGAGTAGAGGCAGGTTGATTTCCATGAGTTCCAGGCCAGCCTGCTATATATAGTGAGTGACACCCTGTCTTGAGAAAAACAACAGCTACACAGAGAAACCCTGTCTTTTTTTTTTTTTTTTAATATTTATTATGTATTCAGTGTTCTGCCCAGGCCAGAAGAGGGCACCAGGTCGCATTACAGATGGTTGTGAGCCACCATGTGGTTGCTGGGAACTGAACTCAGGACCTTTGGAAGAGCAGCCAGTGCTCTTAACCTCTGAGCCATCTTTCCAGCCTCCGAGAAACTCTGTCTTTTTTTGTTGTTGTTTTTTTGTTTTGTTTTTTCAAGACAGGGTTTCTCTGTATTGTTTTGGAGGATTTCCTGGAACTCACTTTGTAGACCAGGATGGCCTCGAATTCACAGAGATCTGCCTGACTCTGCCTCCCGAGTGCTGGGATTAAAGGCGTGCGCCACCAACGCCCGGCGAAACTCTGTCTTAAAAAACCAAAAGAAAAGAAAAAAGAAAGGAAAAGAGAAACAACAAAAAGAAACAAATGAGTAAAACACCCCTCCCCTGTTTTACTGACTGCCCCTCTTCCATTCTTGTGACCAAGAACACACATTTTTGTAGGTTTTGTCAGTCTTGTCAGCCAAAGCGGTACTCTGAGGAAGGAGTATGTACACACATACTGGTCTACAGGGAGTTCCAGGACAGCCTCCAAAGCAAACCGCCTCGAAAAATGGCTTTTTACTCATTTTGTCGTGCAACAAATATTAAAACTAAGTGTGGTGGTCTATGCTTATAATTCCAGCAATAGGGAGATCGAGGCTGAAGGGTCACAGGTTTGAGGACACCCTGTCTCAGGGGAAAAAAAAGCAAAAACCAACCAAGCAGGGATGGACACTGGGAGTAAAGACAACAGTATCAGGAGGTCAAGGTCTTCCTCAGTTCCATAGCAAGTTCGAGGCCATCAAGAGCTCCAAACAACAGCAATAAGCTGGTTAGGTGTCATATACTGTGTTGGGGCTGCCGACACCAAGTTGACAGGTTCGGGTTGCTGGGTTCATTGTATAGTCGGGAAGCCTGGCAACTGAGTAGCAAATGAAACCCTAAGAGGGCGGGGCCTGGAGGAATGTAAGGTGTAACAGTAGCAGACAGACGGCAGGGCTAACACAGTTAACACGGCTAACACCGCAGACACGGCTAACACAGTTAACACGGCTAACACCGCAGACACGGCTAACACAGTTAACACGGCTAACACCGCAGACACGGCTAACACAGTTAACACGGCTAACACCGCAGACACGGCTAACAGCTTCTGCGGTTGGGAATGGCCTCTCACAGACATCGACGTTTAAAGTAACACCTAAAAGAGGGACAGTATTAGCCAGGACACAGGCAAAGGCCAGGAGAATGAGCTAAACAGTTCCAAAGCCCAGAGGCAAGAGTGAGTCGGGTCAGAGGCTACTTCTCCCACAGTGTTGGAGGCAGGCGCAGCGCTGAGGGAAGGGGCTGGCATCTTAGGCCACATGCAGGCATTAGCTGAGGGCAGCCAGAAATCACCCAGAGGACGCAGTTTGTTTGTTGGGAGTCGGGGTTTCAAGTAGCCCAGGTTGATATTACCACATAACCAAGGATAACCTTGAATTATTGACCCTCCTGCTTCCACCTCTCGGGTCACCATGCTGGTTTTGGGAGTCAAACCCAGGGCCTCCTGCATACTATGCAAATGCTTCACCAAATGAGCTAGATCCCCAGCCCTCACAGAAAAGTTTTAAAGTCAGGAAATGAGATGATCATTTCTACGTATTATAAGACTCACTTAGGGGCTGGAGAGACGGCTCAGCGGTTAAGGGCACTGACTGCTCTTCCAGAGGACCTGGGTTCAATTCCCAGCAATCACTCGGAAACTGACACCCCCATGCAGGCAAAACACCAGTGTACATAAAATAAGAATAAATAATTATTTTTAAAACAGCACTTGACCTCAGGGTAGAACATGGAAGGAAGCAAACCTTGGCCTGACACTGTAACGGCGGCAGCAGCGGTGGCGACAACTGAGATCTCTAGCAAACAGAATTGATACAACTGACCTGGTCAGGTTTGAGGCTGAGGTGAAGAGGGGTTGGAGAGATGGCTCAGTAGTTAGCACAGGCTGTTAACCAGGGGACCCAGGTTCATCTCCCAGCATCTCTATGGCAGCTCCTAACCACCTATCACTTCAGTTTCAAAGGACTCGATGCCCTTTCCCTACGTCCTTGGGCACAAGGTATACAGGCGTCCTCACAGGCAAAGCACCGTACACAGTAAGTAAAGTAATAATTGGGGGGGGGGGGGAGAGAAGGAATAGGGCCCAGCTTAGGTTCCTGAGTTGGGAGGCTAAGCAGTTAGCAAGAGCTGCAAGAGTGGTTGTAGGTGGCCCGGAGTGGGTCCTGGATTAACGCAGATATTGGGTGCTTTAGAGGCGGAGTGGTGGTATTAGCATTATTAATGTGGGGTGATTGCCAGTGGCTTGTTTTCAGACCAAGTACAAAGTAAACAGGAATTCACCACTGAGCTATACCTCAGCCTCTCTCTTTTTTTGAGACAAGATCGCACTACACGTCTTGAACTTACAGTCCTCCTGACTCAGGCTCCACCTGGCTAGTCATTTGAGTTTTTAAGTCCAAAAGAAAAAGTCTGGGCTAAGAAGTCAGCTGTGTGTGTAGATTGCAATCGCAGTGTTGGAGATGGAGAAGGCTTGCACAAGTCAGGCCTGGCGGCACATACCTGTAACCCTAGCACTCAGGACACAGAGGCAGGAGGCTTTTGAGTTTGAAGACAGCTCTCCAAGCCAAACCCTGGATCAGAAACAAAAGGCCATCTGGATGACTTACTGGCTTGGCTGCCAAGTCAGACAACCAGAAGACATTCATAGTAGCAAGAGAAATGGCCTCCACGTGGGCACCAAGGCGCACACACACACAACAGACAAACACGATAATAAAAATAAGAGGCTGATGGAGCTCCAGAGCCAGTTTGGACCAGGGTGGCTCCCTGACATCATGAGCACTGCTGGGGCATGTCCTTTCGTTACTTTGTTTCCCCGTATCCCTTGTAAACAGCTGTTCAATCAGCTGCTCCCACTGTTGCCAAGCCTTTTTAGGAACTTCAAAATTCTTCTTAAGATTCCCTTTCACGAGCCGGGCGGTGGTGGCGCACGCCTTTAATCCCAGCACTCGGGAGGCAGAGGCAGGCGGATCTCAGTGAGTTCGAGGCTGGCCTGGACCGACAGCCTCCAAAACAATACAGAGAAACCCTGTCTCGTAAAAACCAAAAAAAAAAAAAAAAAAAAGGTTCCCTTTCACTGGGCATTGGTGATGCACACCTTTAATCCCAGCACTTGGGAAGCAGAGACAGGTGGATCTCTGTGAGTTCGAGGCCAGCCTGGTCTACAGAGCAAGTTCCAGGACAGCCTCCAAAACAATACAGAGAAACCCCAGCTCAAAAAAAAATTCCCTCTTTGGAGTCTGGAAAGATGGTTCAGTGGTTAAGAGTACTGGTTGTTCTTTCAAAGGTCCTGAGTTCAATTCCCAACAACCACATGGTGGCTCACAACCATCTGTAATGAGATCTGGTGCTCTCTTCTGGAATAAAGTCATACATGCAGACAGAGCATTCATATACCTAAAATAAACAAATCTTTATATAAATAAATAAATTTGCTCTTTCACCGGGGTGACTTTTATCCAGCACTTGGGAGCCAGAGACAGGAAGATCTCTGTAGGTTTGAGGCCAGCCTGGTCTATATATCATTCCAGTCTAGCATAGAGAGACCCTATCTCAAAAAAACTAAACAACAATGGCTGGAGAGATGGCTCAGTGGTTATGGGCACTGGCTGCTCTTCCCGCCCAGGGTTTAATTCCTAGCACCCACATAGCAACTCACAGCTATCTATAACTCCCGTTCCAGGGGATTTAATACCCTCACACAGACATAACAAGCAGACAAAACACCAAGTAAATAAAGTAAAAGTAAATAATAAAAAAAAAACAAGAACAACTAAACAGCAACAAATTACTCTCATCTTCATCCCCCAAAGTCAAATCTTCTAAATATTAGAGGTGTACATATAGTTCAGATAATACCTGGAAGAACACAAACCCTACTTCCATCTGGAGGTGGGAGATGGGGTGGGACCGTCATCTGCGTTTTAAGAGATTGCCCACAGCAGGTTGCAATCTGATAGCTTACTTCATTACTAATGCTTCCAGCCTGGGAGGAAATTTCAAGATCAAGAAAAGCTGTAGACTTGACCAGGCCAATTCCCTGGGGAAATGAACTGTGAGAGAAAATGCAATTTATACAAAAAAAGCCATTTTCTCATTTCCTATGTTGTTTGGTGTGGTTGGTGTGGTTTAGAGACACAATGTAGCCCTGACTGGTCTGGAACTCACAGAGATCCTTCTGCCTCTGCCTCTCTGAGTACTCCTGGCCTTATTTTTGTGGAGAGAGAGAGGGGGGGGGAGGGGGAGGGAGGAGGAGGGGGAGGGAGGGAGGGAGGGGGAGGGAGGGAGGGAGGGGGAGAGAGAGGGAGAGAGAGAGGGAGAGAGAGAGGGAGAGAGAGAGGGGAGAGAGGGGAGAGAGAGGGGAGAGAGGGGAGAGAGAGAGAGAGGGGAGAGAGAGAGAGAGAGGGAGAGAGAGAGAGAGAGGGGAGAGAGAGGGAGAGAGAGAGAGAGGGGGGAGAGAGAGAGGGAGGAGTTACATAGCTCAGGCTGTCCTGGACCTCACTATATAATCCAGACTGACCTCAACCTGTTCATTCTCCTGCTTCAAACTTCTAAGTGCTGTGACTATACTTTCTTCTTCCCCATTCCTATGGTTACTAAAATTATAAAAGGTGCCCAAAATATTTAGATGAAAACAATATGGACGATTTGTGTGTGTGCAGTCTTCATAGTGCCTAAATACAAAGGGAAGCCAGGTGGAGTGGTATATGCCTTCAATTCCAGCACTCTGGAGGCAGAGGCAGGGGGATCTCTGAGTTTGAGAATAACTTCCCGGACAACCAGGGCTACATAGAGAAATCCTGTCTCAAAAGAAAAAAAAAAAGACCCCCCCCCTTCAATTAAATATTTTCCTTATAAGGAAAAAAGAAAAAGAGAGAAATTACCCACCGTTTCCTATTGTTCATCATCTGCCATGCTATTTTGGAAAAAAACCAGCTGCCTAATTTGTTTTAGTCCAGTGTCTTCTTAGAGCCTTATTCCACCCCCAACCCCAGACAGGGATTCCTCTGTGTAACTGCCCTGGCTGTCCTGAAACTCGCTTTGTAGACCAGGCTGGCTGCCTGCCTCTGCCTCCCAAGTGCTGGGATTAAAGGTGTGTGCCATCAACCCAGGAGTAACTTATTTGTCTTTACTTTATGTGCACTGGTGTTTTGCCTACATGTATGTCTGTGTGAGGGTGTCTTATTCCCTGGAACTGAGGTGACAGACAGTTGTGAGCTGCCATGTGGGTGCTGGGAACTAAACCCAGGTCCTCTGGAAGAGCAGCCAGTGCTCTCAACTGCTGAGTCATCTCTCCAGCCTCCTTTCCTTATTTCCGATCACTGATGACTATCACCTCTTTCCTTCGTCCATCCTGATCACTTATATCCTCTATTTCCCCTAAGTTGATACAGTTTTCCACCAACCTCTGTGACCAAGCCATGGGGAGGGTCAGATTTAGGGATGGTGGATGCTTGCCTAGAAGTCATACTTTTGATCTCTAGCCACCTAAAATGCCTGCTAAAAGTTTCACTTTCCAACACCAGGGGGTGTCTCTCCCTGTCCCCGCTCCCTTTCCCTCCCGGCTTAAAGGTGCATTAGTCCCAAACCTTTTCCTCCGTGTTTTTATGTACACACTAAATCTTCCTGTGTTGCTCTTGAAGCAGGGATCAGCCCCAATCATTTTCCTCTCTCCTTTTTCCCATAAGCACATAAATCTTGTGTCCTCCCGCTCCACCATCAAAGAAGCGTGGGTCCAGAAAGTTCTTTGTGTTGCATTTTATCTGTTCGTGTCTCTCAGCTCTCAGGGCCAACCTGTCCTTTCCCTGTTGTAAGCATCCGTAGTCCTTACAGCTCCCACACTTGCTGCCTGCGATTCGTTGCCTCTCAGAGCTAGCTTTACAAACAGGTCTCTGAGCCTATGTATCCACCTTTCATCGTCCTCTTATGGTTATCTTCCCCCCCCCCCCCGTCCTATCACTTCTGTGCCACCTCTCTCCGTCTCCCCCTCGGTCCCCACTGTTAGAACAGTGTCACGATGTCTGTGTAGAACATGCCCCGTCTTCCCATCCTTGACGGATACATTCCACAGTGCCCCTCCGCACATTCCAACTGTAAACAAAGAGTTCCCTTTCACTCATCCCCCTCGAACTCTTTCCTGTTCCAACTCTTGAGTTTTATGGTCGCAGCTGCCCAGTCTGCCCCTTGACCTTTCACGTCCTGCCGGCAGTCTTCCACCTCGGAGGCAGTTACCACAGCGTCCTCCTGCGATGCAGAAAATCCTTGCGCGGACACTCCAACCCCGGGTGCACACGGCGCTCCGCCCTTCCCGGAAAGTAGATCCGGCTAGGCAGACAAAAGTTTGGAGAAGTTGGGTCGGTGCGAGTGAGAGCCAGGGGGGCGGGCCGGGCGGGCGGTGGCGCGAGCCGACGCGTGGACAGACCTGCGGAGGACGGCTGCTGCCGCGGGCCCCGCCAGCCGCGCGCCGACCCTCTCGCCGGGGCATGCTTCGGGATCGCGGGAGCCCGGCATCTGGGCCGCCCGCTGAGCCCTCGTGGGTCGCTTGCACCCCGGGAAGCCGAGCCCCGGGGAACCCAAGCCCGGCCTTGGGCCGAAACGCTGCAGCGTGCCGGGCGGGGAGGGGGCTGCAGGCCCCAGATCCGAGGGCATGGAGCGGCTAGGGGAGAAAGCCAGCCGCCTGCTGGAAAAGTTGAGACTCTCGGACTCCGGTAGCGCCAAGTTCGGCCGCAGAAAGGGCGAAGCGAGCCGGTCTGGGTCTGATGGGACCCCCGGAGCAGGCAAGGGGCGCCTGAGTGGGTTGGGGGGACCTAGGAAATCAGGACATCGAGGAGCTAATGGGGGGCCTGGAGATGAGCCTTTGGAGACGGCCAGGGAGCCAGGGTCCCTGGACGCCGAGCGGAACGCACGCGGCTCCTTTGAGGCACAGCGCTTCGAAGGCTCCTTTCCTGGGGGGCCGCCGCCCACTCGAGCCTTGCCTCTACCTCCGTCGTTGCCTCCTGATTTTCGGCTGGAGACCACGGCCCCGGCTCTCAGCCCTCGCTCCAGCTTCGCCAGTAGCTCGGCCAGCGACGCCAGCAAGCCGTCGAGCCCCCGGGGCAGCCTGCTGCTGGACGGGGCGGGGGCCGGCGGAGCAGGAGGCAGCCGGCCGTGCAGCAATCGGACCAGCGGCATCAGCATGGGCTATGACCAGCGCCACGGGAGCCCGCTGCCCGCGGGGCCGTGCCTGTTCGGCCTCCCCCTGAATCCTGCTCCGGCGGGCTACTCCTCTGGAGCGGTTCCGTCCACCTACCCGGAGCTCCATGCCGCCCTCGACCGACTGTGCGCTCATCGGCCCGTGGGCTTCGGCTGCCAGGAGAGCCGCCACTCGTACCCCCCAGCCCTGGGCAGTCCCGGAGCTCTAGCCGGAGCTGTAGTGGGAACAGCGGGGCCCTTGGAGAGACGCGGGGCGCAACCCGGACGACACTCAGTCACGGGCTACGGGGACTGCGCCGCGGGGGCCCGTTACCAGGACGAGCTAACAGCATTGCTGCGCTTGACGGTGGCTACCGGTGGGCGAGAAGCCGGTGCCCGCGGGGAACCCTCGGGGATTGAGCCGTCGGGTCTGGAGGAGTCTCCTGGACCCTTCGTGCCGGAGGCCTCCCGAGCCCGGATGCGGGAGCCAGAGGCCAGAGAAGATTACTTTGGTGAGTAGAACCCGAGAGACCCGACAACGCATGCGGTTTCCCAGCGCCTCGACGGCCCAAATTGCCGGTGCCCGGGGGTGGCAGGTGGAGACCCCGGACTAGAAAAGAGGTAGAGGGATGGAAGAGGGCGGACCCTAGAGCACTTGCTGGGTTTCTCATGGGACAGGGCTACTGACCCCTGGCAAATCGACCTCCTGATTTTTCTCGGGGTTCTCGTTTTCCCCAAGCATCGGTGCACCTCGGCCTGTCGCAGTAGGAGGCCTTGTAAGGAGGAGGCGCTGCGGGCCCGGGAGAGCATCCTCCGCGCCCCCCTCTCGGCTGGGCTCCTGCAAGCTCCGGCGTGCCGCGCCCCCACCCGCTCCTGGCTCCGCCCGCAGGAATTCGGGGAATGCGCGGGGGGCGGGGCGGGCGGCCGCGTGCGTGCCGACTCCTGCCCCGGCGCTCCAGGTGCCGTGGGCGACGCCCGCCCGGCGCAGGGGTGGGGAGCGTGTGCTCGCGCTGGGGGATGTTTGCTTGCTCCCGCGCCGTCCAGGCTGCTGTCGGGGAAATGGAGCCTGGAAGGGAGGCCTGAACTCCCTAGAATGGAAAGCGGGGACTCAGGTCAACCCCAGTCCTGGTGGTGAGGTGTGTGCCGGTGGCCTTTTAAAACAGGCCAGGACCTAGCAGCCTGTTTTCCCGGCCTTCGGAAGTCAGGGCAAGACCAGTGACCGCCTGGAGACCATTACCCTTGTAGATACCTGCTCTGTGTGACTACCAGGTATTAACCGGCTTTGAGATTCCCCCATAACTTGACGAGCGTTCAGGAAGAAGTAGCCCTACTTGCCTGTTACTGTTGAGGAAACCTGGCCACTGCCTCTCTCCAATATTCTTTTCAAGAATCGGTTGTTAAAGCTAGGAGGTAGGGTGTTAGCCCCCACAGACATAATTATATAAGGCAGTTCCGTTGTTAATGTGGAGGACACTCCCACTCCTGGACTCTGGGGCTCTTCGGTTTTCCAAGGACCCTCGTTTTCCCACCATCCGTGTTCCTCCACTGTCGTGTCCACACACACACACACACCACACACACACACACCGTCCTATGGCTAGAAATATGATTAGAGAGAAGGATAATTGGAAGTTCAGAGGTAATACCGGAGTAGGCTGGAGGGGACTGAGTTCAATACCCGCACACGCTTTTTCACCTATTGGGTAAGCGGTGGAGGGGACTCGCAGAGCAGATGACCTAAATCACGTTGATGGGGGAAACCACGGCAGTGCCCATTTAACAATTTCCTTTTGCGGTCCACGGGAGAGCTGGTTTAAAAAAAAAAAGTCTCACTGCCTAAACCCTTAGAGCCCAAAGAAAGACTCAGAAAGTGCAGTTAAATGGCAGGAAGATGCTGGGAGTCGATGGCCTGCCAACGGAGGCGAGGTAAACACCCCCGAGCAACTTCCTCTTTCCACGGTGTCCGTGGTTCTGACGGACCCCCTGGCATGGCAGTCTTGGGCAGATTTCTCCGGTCATGAGGAGGGAGAACACCTTTTGAACTCAGAAATGAAACCAGGTTGTCCCTAACCAGGGAAACCAGGAGGCCCCTACAGCGGCTGTGCCCTCGCTAGTGTGATGGTACCCTTTACTGCTGTCTCCGGTAGGGGCCTCTTCCTTGGCTGCAGCACTGCCCAGCTGCCAGAGGGTGGGAACAGGACAGGCCCGGGCCCATCAGTTGCCGCAGCTGCTGCACCAGCTCCCAAAGCCCCTGGGCAAAGACTGGGATGGGCCCCAACAGGCAGGGAGCGTGGCAGTGTGCCCAGGGGAAGGTGGGCAGGCTCGTCGGGATCTGCTCCCCAAAGACAGGTCCTAGCCCTCAGTCATGAGCCTGGAATTGGGGAGTGGAGGGAGGAGGAACACACCCAGGAAAGGCTGGTTCCAGGGCCAGGTGTGTGTAAGTTAGTGGACAGTGCCAGGAAAGGCCAGGTGAGCCTCGTTTCACGGGGCAGGAAGGGTCCTTACGGCTGCGTCCCCACCCCCAACCCCACACACTCCTGGCCCCCGAAGCCCCCACTGTGCCCTTAGCTGTGACTTAGAGTGTTCACATGGCCTGTCTGCTCAGAGCACCCTCTGCTGGGCCAGACGAAGTTTATGGATGATAAAAACCTGATGTCCCAGAGAGACTCTCGGGTCTGGATTGCTCTCTTTAGGAAGTTTTTCCAGGTGCTGCCAGCCCCCGTGTACCGGTGTCCCCATCGCCAGCCACTTCTTGCCCTCTTGTCCCAAAAGAAGCAAACCATCGTGAACTTAACATCTTTTTTTAAGAACTTAGGTTCTGGCCAGGCATTGGTGGCGCACGCCTTTAATCCCAGCACTCGGGAGGCAGAGGCAGGCGGATCTCTGTGAGTTCGAGGCCAGCCTGGTTTACCGAGCCAGTTCCAGGACAGCCTCCAAAACAATACAGAGAAACCCTGTCTTGAAAAAAAACCAAAAAAAAAAAAAAAGATCCGGCTGCCCTATTTTTCTTTTCTTTCTTTTTTTCATTTGAGACAGGGTCTCATGGCTTCAGCTTAGGTTTCCAACGCTGTGTAGCCAGAGTAACCTTGAGCTCCACACCCTCTGGCCTCTACCTCCTGACTTCCAGCATGCACTATCGACCCATTTCCTCAGTGCCAGGGGTGGGACCTGGGGCCTTACACATGGCAGACAAGCTTTCTGCAAGCCACACTGGTGTCTCCAAGCCACTGGGTCCCATTTCTAGTCACCCTCTCTTCTCAGATAGTTAGGGAAGTGTGTCCTTGGGCTCAACAGTCCCGCACCTTTGAAAAAGCTTGGGGATGCCCAGATTTGAGCTGGGGAAGTGGGTGTGACCCTGACCGGTTCTTCCCTTCCAGGCACCTGTATCAAGTGCAACAAAGGCATCTATGGGCAGAGCAATGCCTGCCAGGCCCTGGACAGCCTCTACCACACCCAGTGCTTTGTCTGCTGTTCCTGTGGTGAGTGCACCTGCTACACAAGCCCCCTCTCCCAGCGCGCCCCCGCCCCCCTCCCAGCGCGCCCCCCCAAACACTTTCGTGGAGAGAAACACCTGGCAGAACCCGTAGCCACCCTGTCTGTCCTTCATGCCTGTCCGAGTGCTACCCGGCTTTCCCTCCCCGAGCTGGATCTACTTTCTGGGCTTCTCTTCTAGCCTCCTTGCTCCTCTCTGAACCTCCCTTTTCTGGTGCCTCCCTGCTGGCCCAGCCTTGGGCTCCAGCCCCACCTCTCCTCGGTGAGGTTCGGTCTTGCGAGGAGGCAGAGTTGCCTGGGGCGACAGTGAAAGACTGGAATGTGGGAAGGGCGGGTGTGGGCTGGGGGAATGGGGAGCTGTGGGGGGGTCAGGGAGGGGGGTTTTCTCTTGGCTGGTCAGAGTTCAGCCACCTCACTAGAGTGGAGGCCATCAGGCCATGCCAAGCTGGTGACATCACACTCCAGGAATGTCTGCTGCTGCTGTTAGCTCAGGAGGCCCTCTGTGGGGGTGCTCCCCCACACCCTCCCTCACCTCTCATTATCCCTCTGCTTACCATTCTGATTCTTTGGCTAACCCTGTAATCTCCTATCTCTGCCTGTCTGGCTCCAGCGCTCAGCCTTTCCTTCCTCCCCCAGCTTCTGCCTGCATCTCTATGGCTATGGGCTGATTTGGCTGTCCTTCCCATTGGGCCTCTTCCGGTATGTCCTCCCCCTTTCCTCTCTCCCAAGTCACGTAAGTGAGCTTTTCTAGACCCCCCCCCCCCAGCAGAGCTGGAAGGGGATTCAATGGGAAACTTGCCCATCCCCCCACCCCGTTCTCACGCCTTGCTTCCCCGTGACCACTTAGACCTTATGGAGTAGCTTTGCGGATGTTGCTCTAAAGGGACACTGTCTGCTGTGTAGACCTGGGAAAATTGCAGGCTGCCTCTGACCCTGAAGACTCGTGCATTTCTCTAAGCTCTCGGTCACACAGAGTAGTTTCTCCAAGATGTCCTGACCGCCAGAGAGGTACCATGTGACAGGAGGGAGCTAGACAGATACGAGAGCAGGATGCCTACTGAAACAAAGAAGCCTAGGTTGAAGGTCCCAGAGGGCAGGGCCTAGGACCAGTGCTCTGCAAATCAAGTAACTTGCACTCAGATGCTCACCAGGCACACAGCCTGCCTGACCTCGGCTCGGCTTACCCGCCTCTCAGGTGGCTCCCGGTGTGCCAGGGCCTGAAGAGGTGTGCGTGGCAGACAACCAGTGAAGCTCGACGAGCAGTGCACAGAAACATTTGGCTGCAGTGAGGCCACCGCCATTTGGAGTTGTATGGGATTTTTATCTTTTTCTCTTGGAGGCAGGCTTTACTCTGTAGGTCAAGATGACCTTAAACCCTTGATCCTCCTGCCTCAGTCTCCACGTGCATATGGTGTTTTTGTTTGGGAAGGAAGACAACAGTTAGGAGGGAAAGCTGTAAGGTCTAGGTCCAACTGTCCCATGCAACCTCAGGGAGCAGGGACCAGAGAGAGAGAGGAAAAGGCCTGTGTGTGGACTCCAGAGATAGGCTCCCTTCTCTGCTGCCTCTAGGACGAACTTTGCGCTGCAAGGCCTTCTACAGTGTCAATGGCTCCGTCTACTGTGAGGAAGATTATCTGGTGAGTGAGGGGCCTAGAACTGACTCTGACACTGCCACACTTTGGTCGCCCGTCCAGTGGTAGCCTACCGTCTGGTCGGGTTCCATCATTTTCAGCTTGGTGACTACCTCCTGTCGTCCCTTCTCTAGTTTTCAGGGTTTCAGGAGGCAGCTGAGAAGTGCTGTGTCTGTGGCCACTTGATTTTAGAGAAGGTAAGAAATTCGCCTCAGCTGAGACCTGGAAGTGAGGGGGAGGACCAGTGATGTCGTAACATAAGAGAAGGTGGCAGGGGAGCCTGTCACTAGATGATGCGTGTGCTCCAGTTCCTCCCCAGTGCTGCCCCTCTGCCTGTGAGAGCAAATCTGTAACCCTAGTCTCACCCCGCTTGGCTTCTGTCACCTGTCCCCTCCCTGATTGTACAGACACAACCTCCCCTCCAGCCTGAGCTAGGTGAACATGCTCCCTTTTTTGCTACTGGTTGAAAACAGTTGAAACTCAGTTTTTTGCATAAAAAGGAGGAATTGGAGCTGGGCTTGGTGGTACAGGCCCTTAATCCCACCAGGGCCAGGCAGATCTCTGAGTTTGAGGTCACCCTAGTCTACAGAGTGAGGTCTAGGACAACCAGCTCTAAACAGAGAGACCCTATCTTGAAAAACCAAAAGAAAAAAAAGGAATCAGATTAGATTGGTGATTCTTAATTATGGCTGTCTAGTAGATACCTGGGAAGTAATGAAAAGTAAATAAAAATTCTGGCACCCACCTTGAGCTTTAATAAAAAGTTAGGTGTGGCCTGAGGCTACAGTTCTGTTAGCTGAGCAAATGCCTTACAGGAACTGCCCTGGGTTCCAGCCTCAGCACCGTACACACCAGGTGTGGTGGAGTGTGCACACCTGTTATTTCAGGTCTCTGGAAGTGAGGCAAGAGGTCATCCTCAGCCACATAGTTTTTAAGGCCAGTCGAAGATATATTTGACCCTGTGTCCAAGAAATAAACAGTAACAAAAAAATCCATAGGCTTGGAAGTTTCTGAGACCCTTTTCAGGTTTTTTTTGTTTGTTTGTTTTTTTGCCTTTATTTTAAGACGCCTTGGTCCCCTCAAATTATGTAGCACTCTTCTAGGAGGACAGGAGGGGGTTGGAACATAATGGGTAGCTGGAGCCCGAGACTGAACGGAGACTGATCCTCCTCCCGCCCTGCGAGCCAGATCCTGCAGGCCATGGGGAAATCCTACCACCCAGGCTGCTTCCGATGCGTCGTCTGTAACAAGTGCCTGGATGGCGTCCCCTTCACAGTGGACTTCTCCAACCAGGTGTACTGTGTCACCGACTACCACAAGTGAGTCTCGCTGGGGAGGTAAGATGTGGGACCAGCCCCGGGGGCCCTCAGCCTCAGCGTATCACTGTTTTCTCTCTTCTAGAAATTACGCCCCCAAATGTGCGGCCTGTGGACAGCCCATCCTCCCCTCAGAGGTCAGTGGGTCTGAGTTCCGAGGCAGCCAGTAGATGGGGACATGCAGCCTGGCCTCCCTTGGGAAGTGGTACTTCTGAGGAATGTACATTCCATGAAGATTCCCGTGTGACTCTGCTCTTGGGGTCACCACCCTGACCTAAACTTCCGGACCCAGACATGTCCCATAGTCTTGCTGGGTCCAGGCTATCTTCTGTCCCTGTCCAGGGAACAAGGCTCTCAAGGTCACCAGATATAGGGACTGAAAAAGGGTGAAGCTGTCCTTAGGCTGGTAAAAATGGGGTCAGATATTATTTAAGCTATGTAGACAGAGAGTGTGCCTAGGAGAAAAGCCTTTCTTTGGCTGATGTGTGCTCAGCCGTGCCGTTCCCCCGCCCCTCCCCCTTCCCTGCTTCTCTGCACCCATGAGCAGCAGGTAAGGCTGAGCCTCTGTAGAGGGAGAGCTGCAAGCATGGAGGCATACTGTCCTGGAGCGGTGCCGTGGTTAGGGGTAGCATTGCTCAAACATCTCAAAACTACGTAAACCATGTGGCATAGTACCTACTGCAGAGAGGCCTTTGCATGGTCTGCCTGTTGGAGTGGGAGGGCTTCAGTGGGTGGGATGATGACTCGGGGGACACTGTGCTGGGCTCACCCCCATGGGGCTCTGCGTGTTTCAGGGCTGTGACGACATCGTAAGGGTGATATCCATGGATCGCGATTATCACTTTGAGTGCTACCACTGTGAGGTGAGTATTGGGGATTCAGGGCTGATGAAGGAAAACTGGGGTTTGGGAGGGGGAGTCAGTCTTGGAACAGCTGGGCGTCTGTGGGAGTGGGACAGGACCAGAAAACCGCTGTGACCTATGTGTAGTCTCATACTCTTTCCTGGTCCTAGTGTAGATCTTTTTGGACGTGGCTTCGCCAGAGTGAACTGCTGGAGATGGGGGTTGTGTCATTATTTCTGCAGCAGTAGCGACCCCTGGTGTCCAGATGAAACGTTTCTTGGGTCTTCACTTCTGTCCTGTCCACCCTGTCTCCCTTTACCCTCCCTGCCTGGCCACCATCCTCCTAGTCATTGGCTAGTCTGATGCTGAGCCCAACAGACCCCCAAGATGGCCTCAGTATGTAGGGAGCCTGGGCTGACGTGAACGCGTTCCTTCTTAGGACTGCCGCATGCAGCTGAGTGACGAGGAAGGTTGCTGCTGTTTCCCTCTCGATGGACATTTGCTCTGCCATGGCTGTCACATGCAGCGGCTCAATGCCCGACAGCCCCCTACCAACTATGTCTGAGCTGTGCTTCCTGCTGCTGCCATCAACCCTACGGAGAGTTCTCTAGCCTGCTGAGGCGAGGAAGAGGAATGCACCCTGCAATCCTTCTGAGTTCTCTGGGGAGGCCCCAGAGGCCAGAGACCCAAAGATCCTAACATTCCAAATAGGCTGTGGAGGAGGGACCTTCTGATTGACAGGAGGCTTGGCTGGTCTTCCTTGTGTGCAGTCTGTGCTACGAAAATGCCTCATAGCACATGGGCAGGTTTCAGTACTTCTGAACATCAGATTCGGTTGTATATTTCCAGTGTATGTTTCTATAAAAATCAAGCAATGTCCCAGCGCTGGGTCACACGAGATGGCATCACAGAAACCACCCCCAGTCCATTGCACGCTATACATAGGGTCGGCCAGGCCTTTCCCACAGTGACCTGTCTTTGTCTGCATGAAGGGCTGGGAGCCCTGGACTTCATGATGAGTCATTTCTTGGCTGTCTCCCTAAGGACTAGTGCGCTTCCCATGTGTCTGCTGGGACTGGGATGGGGACCAGCTCTGGGGGGGCCGGGGGCTGCTGCCTGTGTTGCCTGTTTCTCAGGGACCGGGGAGGCTGAGTGGGGCCTGTTCTTGGCTGCTTTTTTTTCTCAGCTGGGGAAGTAATGAGCAGGTCTCTGGTGTGACACTTCCTGGGTGGGATGTCCAGGAAGCTTCAGGCCAGCCCCACGCAGGGTTGAAGTGCACTGAGCCCTCCAGCCCGGCGTATGTGGGTACATTTGTGTCTGTGCACCTCCCTCTGGGAGTCCTTTTTTCTCAGGTGACTTTTCCCTTAGTTCTCTAGCAGTAGCTTATGGTTTGAGGCCCACCTCTTCCCTAGGGATTGTGCCTTGGACTTCTACAGCCCCACAACTCGGCTTTGGGGAAGCTGGAAAGAACGAAACAGTTGGTCCCAGTCTGCTTCTCTGAAGCTTGAATTTACCTAAGGCCGGATGTGGTGAAGTCAGCTCACCTGCTGGCTGCAAGTTCAGTTCATTTGATGAGCCGGATGCCAAGAGCTCCATCCTCTCTTGAGTGTTTCTGTAGCCGCCTAAAGGTTCTGTCCTCATTACATCTAGCAACTCTCAGTGGTTTCCGCCTGTTCACCACGAGTACTTCAGAGTTATTAGCAACCTGCATTTATCAACTTTGTGGCACTTTGTAAGTGATAAGATGGCTCCCTGCCTTTATGCGTGTCTTTTCCTACCTGATCTACTTTGCTGACACTTAAAATAAAAAAGTTTAAATTCTAGTAATAAATAACAATTGGTATAGATATTTTGTGAGTGTATTGTGTTTCTTACTTGGTTATTTGTTAGAAGTTCATTTATAAATATGCCTATGCGCTCAGCCTCGGAATTTGCTATAGGAAACTCTCCGCTGTACTTTTGGTTTCTGTGTTCCCTCCCATCTAGGCCTGCATAATACTGCCTGGGGCTCCCCAAAACTCTTCTTGCCAGAGGGACAGGCAGCAGCTGGGAAACAACCAGCTACCCTTTGTCAGCACAGGATCCCCAAATTCCCTTTTTATTAGATTGTCCCTCCTAATACTTGTCTTTACTGTTGCAATTGCTGGTAACTGGTGAAATGGTGTCAAGGGGACAGCTATAGGTAGCCCTTGTTTGGCTAAGACCGTATTTACTAGCTAGCATACTAGTACTGAGACGGAGAAAGGGGAATAATGGTTAAGTTAGGCTCTCTCTGTGGTGAAAGTTGAAGGGTCAGGCTTTAACAGCTGATCTGTGCTCTTTGCTCTGGACAACTCTGGTCACCAAGAACCCAACAAGGATAAGACTGGGGGACCATCGAGGTAGTTCAGTAGGTAAAGGCACTTGGCTGTCAAGCCTGATGACCTGAATTCAATCTCCAGAATCCACATGGCAGAAGGAGAGAACCAACTTCCAAAAGCCGACTTCTGGTCTCCGCTGGAACTGTGGTGTAGGCACTTGGAATAAAAATGTACGCAAGAGGGGCTGGAGAGATGGCTCAGAGATTAAGATCACTGACTGCTCTTCCAGAAGACCTGAGTTCAATTCCCAGCAACCACATGGTGGCTCACAACCATCTGTAATGAGACCTGGTGCCTTCTTCTGGCCAGCAAGCATACATGTAGGCAGAATACTGTATACATAATAAATAAAAAAAGTGTATGCAAGAAGAGTCAGATGGAACTGGCCCATGGGCTAGAATCTGTAGTCCCAGCATTCAGGAAGTAGATACAAGAGAGCCAAATGTTTGCCACTAGGAGCCTGAATGGATGGTTCAGCAGTTAATAGCATTTTTAGATTCTGTTCCCAGCATCACAATTGGCACAGATATTTTGTGAGTGTTTTGTGGTTTTTAAAGATCTATTTATTTATATGCATACAGTGTTTTGCCTGCATGTATGCCTGCACTCCAGAAGAGGGCACCAGATCTCACTATAGATGGTTGTGAGCCACCATGTATGTGGTTGCTGGGAATTGAACTCAGGTCCTCTGGAAGAGCAGTCAGTGATCTTAACCACTGAGCCATCTCTCCAGCCCCGTATTGTGTTTTTTACTTGGGTATTTGTTAGAAGTTCATTTATAAATATGCCTTGAAAATGTAATGGAATGCTGGGTGGTGGTGGCGCACGCCTTTAATCCCAGCACTTGGGAGGCAGAGGCAGGAGGATCTCTGTGAGTTCGAGGCCGGGCTGGACCGACAGCCTCAAAAACAATACAGAGAAACCCTGTCTCGTAAAACCAAAAAAAAAAAAAAAAAAAAAAAAAAAAAAGTAATGGAACTTCAGATGGCTTGGTTGTTAAAATGCTTTTTATCTTTGTAACTCCAGTTCCAGGAGCTCTGATGCCTTCTGACCTCAGATACCAAGCATGAATGAGGTGCATAGACACATGTAGGGAAAACACCCCTACACATAATAATAATAAATCCTGGCTGCTAGCATGATGGTATATGCCTGCAGTTCTAGCAAGGGGATGGGGGTGGGGCTGAGACAGGAGGATCAAAAGTTTGAGGCCAACCAGAGCTAAAGGCTGATGGCTAGATTGTAGCTTGATGGACCAGTATTGCCTAGCATACACCCCATCACTAATGGCTGGAGGTGGGCATGGGGGAAGCAAATTCAATGGTTTCCTTTGCCTTTTTCTTTTTATAGAATCTTGACTTCTGCCTCCTGGAGCTCTGGAAGCCAAGAGAATGGAAAAATTACACTTATAACTGGGCCACTTGAGGGGATAGCGAGCTGCTTCCTAGTAGATAAGACTCTTGTATGCAGTCTTTTAGACTGTACCTTTTTTTGTTTGTTTGTTTTGTTTTTCAAGACAGGGTTTCAGGGCTGGAGAGATGGCTCAGAGGTTAAGAGCACTGACTGCTCTTCCAGGGGTCCTGAGTTCAATTGCCAGCAGCCACATGGTGGCTCACAACCATCTACAATTCAATCTGGTGCCCTCTTCTGACATGTAGACAGAACACTGTATGTGTGATAAAAAAAAAAAAGACAGGTTTTCTCTGTGAAATAGTCCCGACTATCCTGGAACTCACTCTGTAGACCAAGCTGGCCTCAAACTCACAGAGATCCGCCTGCCTCTGTTTCCTGAGTCCTGGGATTAAAGGCATGCATCACCACCGCCCAGCTTGGAAAACCATTTTTTTTTTGTTTTGTTTTTGTTTTTCGAAACAGGGTTTTTCTGTATTGTTTTGGAGGCTGTCCTGAAACTTGCTCTGTAGACCAGACTGGCCTCGAACTCACAGATATTCGCGTGCCTCTGCCTCCTGAGTGCTGGGATTAAAGGTGTGTGCCACCAACACCCGGCTCTGAAAAACATTTTTATACACTCTGTTTTTGAGGCACCCATACTTGAAAACTGACTTTTCTCAGCTCTGTAGACTTTTGATGAGGCTTCCATGAGAGTCTAATCAAGCTGGGCATAGAGGCGCACACCTTCAATCCCAGCATTTGAGAGGCAGAGGTGAATGGATCTCACCAGTTCATGGCCAGCCTGGTCTACAAAGTGAGTTCCAGGACAGCCAGGGCTATTACACAGAGAAACCCTGTCTCAAAAAACCAAAACGAAACAACAACAATAACAACAAAAACAAGAGTAGAAATATACATACCATGTAACAAAATTAACTTTAAATTTCTATCAATAAACTAAAATCCATACCAATGTAAAATCTTTTGAGATTAACAGTTGTTTTTTGGATTAAAGTAGATTCAATAATCTACCCCCCCTTTCCCATCATAATAACCTAGCATTTTCCCCATAATTTTTATATCCTATCCCCCTTTCTTCTTTTAGAAAAATATTGACTATGACCAATAATAATTTGTAACCAACCTCCCCCCCTTAAGTGAAAAAAAAATTATAACCAGTATTTTGGGAATGTGGGCATAGATTTATAGACTCCTTCCTGTTGATTAGTGGGTGCTAGTGATCTTTGAGGAACCCTGAGAAAATCAGGGTAATTGTTAAGTCTTGACTGGAGTGGTCTGTGAGGCTGGACGTCTCAGTCAGTAGCCTTGAAGTTGTTTTGAATATTGGATCATCTGGGTCTTTTTTCTTTCTTGTTTTTTTGACATTAAAAAGTAAACCTAAGGTAACTACAAGTCACAAGATGTATATTTTACCTACTTAAATGTAAAACAAACAAAAAATATATCTTTGGCTGACTTGTGTACAATGCACATTTTATATTTGTATTACTGTTACTCTTTTTTTTGGTTTTTATGAGACAGGGTTTCTCTGTATTGTTTTGGAGGCTATCGGTCCAGCCCAGCCTCGAACTCACAGAGATCCGCCTGCCTCTGCCTCCCGAGTGCTGGGATTAACGGTGTGTGCCACCATCGCCCGGCGTATATTTGTATTACTACAGATATGTGTTACTTTTATAAGTTTATGTATTTTCAGAACAAGGGGACCAGACACCAATAAAAAAGACCCAGATGAGCCAGGCGGTGGTGGCACACGCCTTTAATCCCAGCACCCGGGAGGCAGAGGCAGGCAGATCTCTGTGAATTGGAGGCCAGCCTGGTCTACAGAGTGAGTTCCAGGATAGCCGCCAAAACAATACAAAGAAACCCTGTCTCGAAAAAAAAAATTAAAGACAACACAAAAATATGCATAACCTAGACTGTTTATTTTCCACCTTTATGTGACTTATTATATTTTTCATTACTCTATTTCTTTTTGAGGACTTTCTCTACCCTTTTTTTTTCCTCTCCCAGGCCTACGTATATTTTTAGACACACTGTAACCCCTTTAGAGGTTCTTTCCATCTGAATCTGTCCTTGCTGTGTACCTGTAACCTTTTCTGTCTGCATGAGCAAAGTCCCAAATCTATCATGCAGTGAGCTCGAGCTCACAGCTCAAGTCTAAAGGCAGCAGCTAGGAAACACCTCTCTGTACTGTAGCCGTGTGAGAGATGGTAGAAACATGTCACCCCAATTAGCTCATTGCAGTTGGCGGCTGGCTCTGTCTCTACGACAGCTCTCTATAGATGCATCTCTGTACCACGCCTGCAGTTAGAATGCTCTTCAAGCTTTCTCAGGTCTTATGTGGATCCACTCCAGATGTTGGGTGCCATATGTGAACAGAAGTTTCCTGTCTTGCAGTCCCTCTCAAATAATCACAGAGGCTTAATATAGATTATATAAATGCATAGCCAATAGTTCAGGCTTATTACTAACTAGCTCTTACTTTTTGTTTGTTTGGTTTTTTGTTTTTTGTTTTTTTGTTTTTTTGTTTTTTTTTTTTGGTTTTTCGACATAGGGTTTCTCTGTGGCTTTGGAGGCTGTCCTGGAACTAGCTCTTGTAGACTAGGCTGGTCTCGAACTCACAGGTATCTGCTTGCCTCTGCCTCACACCCTGGCTAGCTCTTACATTTTAAGTCAACCCATATTCTTCTTTGCCATGTGGTGGTACCTTTATTAGAATGGCACATTCATCTCCTGCTCCCGCTGCGTCTGGCTGGAGGCTTCTGTCTCCACCTTTATTCTTCCCATCACCCTTAGTTTGGTCTCCCCGACTATCCTTCCTGCCTGGATACTGTCCCATCAGTGTTTTATTAAACCTTCAAATGTCAAATCTTTACAGTGTATGAGAGGATTATTCCATAGCAATTAGCCTCTGATGACTACCTACCATCACAAGTAGACTGGGCTCATCTATACAACTCAGGTCTCTCGTCCATTAGCTCTGGCTGACCTAGACATTGTAGTAATCTCTGATTTAGTTTCTCAAGTGCTGGGATTACAAATATGTGTATACATTCATTTTGGCAAATTCTTTT